TATACTTCGTAGAACACCAATGCGATTTGTCCCATTTTCCCCCAGGGTTACGAAGACAAATAAATAGTTCGCTGGAAATGCTGAATGTATTACATAAATGTATTTTGTCTCTATCAAAATTCCCCAACGCTACTCATCCCACACTAAGCTGTGCGAACGTAGAGATTTAAAAATAATCCAAATCGAGTATTCTCCGACGTTTTATATGCATAAGTATTCTGGGCATGCATCAAGCTGGGAGTATGCAGTGGTTCACAACTATTCTACACATCGATTGTTATATGGAAACGTACATAAAAATACAATAGTTTATCTAATGTGTAAATATGTCATGGAAACAGGTTTCCTGGCTGGTGTGGGGCCTGCATGACAAATATCGCCATTCAAGGAGACTCGGATAGGGCTGGGGCTCTGGCTTAAACGTCGAAACACGAGTCGGCAAAAAAAAGGCTTTACTCGTTAACTTCCGCGTTCGGTTATTCGTGTGGCAGCCGCGACACTGTCTTTTGGGCTTGTGCCTCGCAGTGGTTTGGGCGATTTATTGATTGGGAGATTAACATACACGGTGATATTGGTATTGTGGAGACGTCTGAGTGTTTGGTTGTGAGTTGAGTATATGTCTCCGTGACCTACCCCCCCCCCCCCCCCTCAATAACAGTTTTGTAGAGGAGGAAGTGCATGCTTACATATCTAATGCAAATTATGACGATTTACGTTATAACCCTATTCAATATACATCATATTATAGTTCATGAATTTTAGAACAATTTATGCTTAATGTCCAATATATGTTCATATTTTACGCAACCACATTTTATGGTTATGTTATTTACTAAATTTGAATTTTCCTTATGATTCCATTAGGAATGGCCTGTGTATCAAAAAATATTTAGTTTATGTATTGTCAATTCACATATATGTACATATAATGAGACTCAAAATAAAATGTATGTCTGCATGTCTGTCAGTCAGTCTGACTGTGAAGTAAATATCCCAAATAAATTCATTTTATGGGCAGCGTAACGGTTCGCGGGCTGCGTGTTGCAAGGCCGCCAGTTTGATCACGTGAAGGATTTGTATCTCGAACATGTGGATATCTCGAAACTTTGGAGTCAATTCGAAGCAACGGAATGCTGTCACGTGTGGTATCATTAAGCGACATTAACTGCAGATATGGTGCGTGAAATGTTGACATTTCAGTGAATCGCAAATGGTTGGCTGTGCAACATGATAAGTGCACACTGATTTATTGGAGCCAAGTGGAGATGTCATACACCCGAGTTGTAGCGAGGCTTGATTCAATCGGTTGGATTCACGTCCACATATACAAGCACTCAAGTTAATTCAGCTGTCAATAAATATACAGTATACATATCTACGTATAGGTAAGTAAGTAGGTAAGTCGGTAGGAGGGTGGGTAGGTAGATAGGTAAGTAGGTAGGTGAGGTGATATTGGGTTTAACGTCGCGTCCAAGATTATTGCACTTATTTAGCAACGTGCATGCACGTGTGTGTGTGTGGATTCTTGTACTAGTCCGGACTGATGCCGATTTATAGTGCTAGCTCACTGAGATACCATGCCGCAGTTTAACATGAAACCCCACTCAGACACAGTATACTGACACCAAGACGACCAGTCCTTGTTTTAGACCCTTAATGCCGAGCGCCAGACAGGGTAACAACAAGTACCGTTTTTTAACGTCTTTTGGTATGACGCGGCCAGGGATCGAACCCCGGGCCTTCCGCTCTCCGGGCGGACGCTCTAGACCACGGAGGCGGTCAGGTATGTAGGTTGGCAGATGGACGGACGAATGGTGATGAACAGACAGAGATGCGAATCAGCTGATTCCCGAACAGGTAGATAAATGACAGTTAGATAGTCCGGATGAATGGATGCATGAATGAATATATGGAAGGATAGACAGAGAACTAGACATGTGGAAGGATAGAATTAACCGCCACGAATTAATAGATGGATGATTAAACTGCACAGAGAGAAATGCAATTCCGAACACAAGCCAGCAAGGGTTAATTGTTTATTATTTCCCCACAATGTTAATCAAGAGATGGTCACAGATGCACTGATAGTACGTCAGTGGGTATCGCATGTTGCATTAATTTGCATAAATTAATTGATGCCCTTTTGATCTACTTCAAACGGAACGGAACATTCTGATCACGTGACCACGGCCTGTGGGCGGTGCACATACGACAGAAGAGACAAATAATACGGTTTAATGTACATTTCCTTCATTTTACAATTTATTGTCGTTTGTTGTAATGCTCGACGGCAGATGGAAACGACAACCAATGCCTGTCGGGGAACTGGAACAGATGGCTATTAGAAATGCGCATACATAAAAGGGTAGAAATAATGTCATTTATAATAATATGGAGACAATGAGATTTTCGTTGGCGGGCTTTGGATTAATGGAAGTTCATACAGGTGGAATTTCAACAACTGATACACCGTTATGAAGTGAAACCTGTGAGAAGGTCATTTATAATAAATAGTTGTAGTATTGCTATCAGATGTGTCGTCTTTCTCATTGATAACGAATGAATTATTAGAGAGATCCCCATGTACATTTACGCACACACGTGTCCCTATATAGATTGAAGCACACAAGTGTCCCCATACAGATTGAAGCACACACGTGTCCCTATATAGATTGAAGCACACAAGTGTCCCTATATAGATTGAAGCACACAGGTGTCCCTATATAGATTGAAGCACACAAGTGTCCCTATATAGATTGAAGCACACAGGTGTCCCTATATAGATTGAAGCACACACGTATCTCTATATAGATTGAAGCACACAAGTGTCCCTATATAGATTGAAGCACACAAGTGTCCCTATATAGATTGAAGCACACAGGTGTCGCTATATAGATTGAAGGACACAAGTGTCCTTATTTATATTGAAGCACACAAGTGTCCCTATATGGACTGAAGCACACACGTGTCCCTATATAGAATGAAGCACACACGTGTCCCTATAAAGATTGAAGGACACAAGTGTCCCTATATAGATTGAAGCACACAAGTGTCCCTATATAGATTGAAGCACACAGGTGTCCCTATATAGATTGAAGCACACACGTGTCCCTACATAGATTGAAGGACACAAGTGTCCTTATTTATATTGAAGCACACACGTGTCCCTATATGGACTGAAGCACACACGTGTCCCTATATAGAATGAAGCACACACGTGTCCCTATAAAGATTGAAGGACACAAGTGTCCCTATATAGATTGAAGCACACAAGTGTCCCTATATAGATTGAAGCACACAAGTGTCCCTATACAGATTGAAGAACACACGTGTCCCTATATAGATTGAAGCACACACGTCTCCCTATATAGATTGAAGCACACACGTGTCCCTACGTACGTTGAAGCAGACAACTATCACAAAGTGCGTTGAAGTTCCGATCAGGTGTTTTGTAAATGTGCAACACAAACGGAATACGGAATTATTAGAGTGTAACAGTCTACATGTGACGTCAGTCGTACGTGAATGTCGAAGCGTTTCTTTTGTCGCTTATACTACTTTTATTACACGGGTTGGTGCACATCACCAGTTGTTCACCCCTGTTGACAGCCCAGTAGGGTACAAACGGCCGGGGTGAGGGGTGGGGGGTGGGGGGTGGGGTGGGTGTGTGTGTGTGTGTGTGTGGGGGGGGGGGGGGGGGGGGATGTGTGCACCGGGAAGCTCCCATAGTGAACACAGAATCCAGGACATGTTCACAAGGAACGAGCGCTGGTTCAATGTCCCAGCTATTTAAAGTCATGACGAAACGTGTTTTCATAACTGTTGCTGAAGTTTTCTTACGATGAACTGATTCATGTTCTTTTCAACTACCACGACAGCCTTTATTACACTGTAACAGATACGTCTTCTGTGTACTTTCCATTGCTCTAGTTTACAGAGTGTAACGTAAGGAATAGACTCAAAATTTAGCTCACGTTTTATTGACATTAAACTGAATTAAATAAACTTTATATAACCGTGAACGGTGCTTTACAAATCCATAATATTGCACGGGTTTCTCAAGATAAAAAGCTCATATCAATCAGCTGATAGGGCGTACTATAAACCCGTGAAGATCCGGGTCAGAATAGGTCTTCAGGGACCCATGCTTGCCGTAAAAGGTGACTATGCTTGTCGTAAGAGGCAACTAAAGGGATCGGGTAGTCAGGCCCGCTGACGTGGTTGATGCATGTCATAGTATCGTAGATCGATGCTCATGATGTCAATTACTCGATTCTTCACAGACGGGATCGGGTGGTCAGGCTCGTTGACTTGATTGATGCATGTCACTCGATTATTTAAGGACCGCAGTAAAATAGCTGGAATATTACACACGAAGAAACAAACGAACTATAATGTTTGCGGTTTAACGCCGCAATATTTCAGCAACATGACGGCGGCCTGTATGTAATCAAGGCTGGACCAGACAATCCAGAGACTGACATCATGAGCACCGATCTGCGCAATTGGGATTCGGGATGAGACAATCCACTGATCAATAATGTGAGCAACGTTCCTCGCCGTCGGGTACGATAACACGTCACCATCACGTCACCGAGCCCGACCACCTGACCAACCTCTTATGACCATCACATGTTGCTGGGGACTTTCCCCACAGGGGCGATACTGTCATGACGCCATGTGACCATGACCAACGAGACTCAATGTGAAGATTTCCTGTTTGATTTATTTAACACATAAATCACCACCCTAACCCGGATGCGTGGTGAGGTAAGATTGTAGATTGTATACTCGGTGGGTACAAGATAAAATAATATAATATAGTCATATAAGCATGTTAGCTCACCTGGCTAGCCATTGGCAGGTAAGATGTAACACGCCCTTACATAACCTATGTCACAGTGATTAACGAACATACGATGAAGTTAGGTCAACTTTTAACGCTGACGATGTTCACATGCCACATGGCTAAAATATAACAAAACTGAATAAAACATTACCTTTGTGAGAGATATAGACCAAGATCCGTGTCGCTGCATTTTGACAAATCTGTGGGGAGGGGGGACACCGGGGACAGTTGGGGGGCCTGCGTTATGATCATGTCCACAGGTAGAGTCACAGGTGAGACAAATATTGTCCAGGTGAGTGTAGGGATGAACCGGTTACCACAGTATTCTGCAGTATGGAGCTGATAGCTTGCCGCTACATTAAGTCAACGCGTACACAGTTCCTGTTGCAGTTGAAGCAGGTGAGAAACACAGGTAGCAAGTCTCTAGGACAGGTAAGTCGCAAAGGTATGACACCGCAGTCAGCGACTGTCAGGTGAAAAGATTAATACACCGCAAACAGCAAATCCTTAACACTGAGGTGTGTATCCGAGACGCTTTCTCCGTGTAGGGGTATGCGGCGTTCGATTGCTGTCGTTGCACACCTGAACACACCTGTGCCCTCCCAGCGTTAGCTCGAGTGTCCCTGATACGAAGATGCTCCCTCTGCTTATATTCACAGACCACCTGATTTCCAAGCCGTATCTAATTTCGTCTAGCTTGAGTTTCAACCTCTCTTGAGGCCGATCGCTTTAATTTATGACCGAGACACTGTAAGAATGGAGCTTGTCCAAACAGTGAATGTCGAGCGTTGTGTACAGGCGGTGCTTCACTGCTCGCTAGCTCAATGTAGTGAATGGTTTACATATTGTCACTGTCCACTCGCAAACTGTTGCATGTTATTAAAGCTTGGATCTCATTTTGCATACTTGCTTTGTCATCAAATATATGGTGAAACAGTTGGTGGGTTGGTTAGAATACGTTCATTAAAGCGAGTAGGGGCGAACAGTGATGAAGTACAAAGACTCCTACATGGAGAATGTAATGCACAGCTGTACCGGCAGAATTACAATAATGTGTTAGAGAGGGGGGAGGGGTATGGTGGGCGTGGGGTTGAGGGACAATGCGTGGGGTGAGGGAGCGAGAGTGGTAAGGTGGGGGTGAGAGGGAGGGGAAGATTGGGGGTGAGAGGGAGGGGTATGGTGGGAGAGGGGATGAGGGAGCATGCATGGGGTGAGGGGCGAGTGTTGGTGAGGTGGGGCGAGAGAGAAGGTGGGTGTGATAGAGTTGGTGGGCGTGGAGGTGTGAACGAGTGGCAGAGAGTGGGTAGGGGTGGTATGGGGTGGAGTGAACAAGAGGGGCAGAGAGTGGTGGGGTGGTGTGGTGGTAGGGGTTGAGAAGGGCAGGGAGATGGGGAAGAGAGATAGATAGTTGGTAGGGCGGGGGCGAGAAGGGTAAGGAGTGGGTAGGGGAGAGAAAGTTGGTAGGGGTGTGTGGTTGCGAAGGGCAGGGAGCGGGTAGAGGATAGATAGTTGGTAGGGGTGGGGATGAGAAGGGCAGGGAGCGGATGGAGGGAGAGATAGTTGGTATGGGTGGGGGTGGGTGGTTGAGAAGGGCAGGGAGAGGGTGGGTGGGAGGGGTGAGAGAGAGACAGCGGATGAGGTGGGCGTGTTGTGGAGATTGGGAAGGACTTTGTGTGTAAACGTTCGTGCGTGTAAGTGTGAGAGTGAGTGAGGGGGTGAGAGAGAGAGAGAAAGAGAGAGAGAGAGAGAGAGAGAGAGAGAGAGAGAGAGAGAGAGAGTAAACGCGAGCTGAAGCTGATGAATAAACTGAGAGTTCACGTGTGTGAGAGTGTGAGTGAGGGGGGACGAAGAGCCGGTCACTCAACAGGAGTGAGTTAATAAGATGCTGTGTGATAGAGTTGCAGCTGAAATTGTCATTTGATACAAACAACTAAATGCTATGGAATGAGTGAGTGAGTGAAGTTGATGTTACTACAAATAGAGAATGAGCTAGATGTTGATGGAGTGAGAAGGAGCGGACAAATGATATTGAGATAAGCGGTTGAGCTGAACGCCAAGCAATAGTGAGAGTCAAGGAGTGATCAACCATCATTTTCAAACGTCACTAACGTCAATGGTGTCGTTGGGATATTTATCAGATAGACTGATATACAGTCGAACCTCGTTGTGTCGAACTCGGACCTGGAAAAAAGTTCGACATATCGGGGTTCGAGACATTAGGGAAATTTATGCTTAATTTGGATACTTTGGTCTCCCAAATGAGTTCGAAACAATTGGGAATTCGACACATCCAAGTTCGACACAACGAGGCTCGACTGTACATTATTCCGAACATCGAGTATTTGGTGTCAGTGATGTCATAAAAAAGATGATTTATACATCCGTGCCAGCTGAGAACAATACCTGCAGATACTCATATGTCAATCTCGTAAATCACAAATACCCAATTTCAATGGAATAATTCAAGTGTCAGGTAACGTCGTTATATAGCATAACTCAAACCAGTTATAATAAGCAATACAGATTAATATCAATGTTAACGCTCAACGTGTACTTTGGCAATATCACATTATAATTATATATTCAGCCAATCAAATACTTCAGAGTGATCAAAGCTTTGACTTGGAACACCGATTCTTCACAAGGGGACAATTTGTGACGTACCCCGCCGTGAAATTGCAGGAATGTAGCTTAAACCGGCATAAAATGCTCGCTTATTCGTTGTATGATGTATCCAACGCAAAAGATACGTAAGAAGAGTGAGTATGGTTTTACGCCGCTTTTAGCAATATCCCAGCAATGTCACAGGGACACCAGAAATGGGCTCCACACATTGCACCCACGAGGGAAATCGAACCGGGTCTTTCGCGTAAAGAGGAACACTTTAACCACTAGGCTACTCTACCGCTCCAAGATTATAAGGGTAGTGTAGTTATTTAGCTTTCATTAACTCTCCTGCAATTGGTTGTCTGGATGCGCTCTATACAGAACCAAGTTCTGGTTGTGACATACAGTAAACTACGGTTATAACGAACTCAAATGGATCACTAATTTTGGTTCGTTATAACCGTAGTTCGTTATACGCATATATACAGCATATATACAACAAATGGCCGGGAGTAAAAAAAGAGTTCGTTATATCGGTCAGTTCGTTATAAGCGTGTTCGTTATAACCGTAGTTTACTGTAGTTCGACATATCCGGAGTCAACATTACCCAATGCTCAGTTACACAACACAGTTAATGATTCGCTGATTTTCGACAGGAACTAGAGTGTGAAAGGTCAACGTCAGATCGTCTCGCCATGTTTCGAGTCCAGGAGCTCCATGGACGGGCCGTCACCTAAAGTTCCGCCCTGTTTGTTCACAGTTCCGCCAAAGTGCGTTTTAATACTGAACACTTAAACCGCTCCATCTTGAACCTGTTGTGAGAAGAGAGGAGAGCATGCTCCATCGCCTCCGAAGAACAAGCTGTATGAAGACGCCACATTGGCCGTACAATGCATTAGCGACACGCCGCCGTTAAGGTTAGAGGTACTGGGTTGGCTTTTGATTACTCGAGTTTAATTCACACACCTTTCACCACCACTACAAAAACTCGTGTAGTAGTTGAGTGAAGTCGGTTGGTTATTCAGCTGTTTCACATCGTCTCAGCCTCGGTTGGGAAAAGTGAGTGAGTGAGTTTGGTTTAACGCCCCTTTTAGCAATATTCCAGCAATATCACGGCAGGGGACACCAAAAATGGGCTTCATACATTGTGCCCATGTCGGGAATCGAACCCGGGTCTTCGGCGTGACCACTCGGCTACCCAACCGCCCCCTCAGTTGGGAAGAAGTGATGCAGATCTCAGATGTTTATCAGTTTGAGGAAAACCCCGAACACGGATATGGTGCTGACAAACCTAGAAACCTAAACAGGGATTCGAACCCACGACCTTATAGGGCGCAACTCAAAGTTTGTCTTAAACTTGTGTAAGTGAGTGAGTATGGTTTTACGCCGCTTTTAACAATATACCAGACACAAGAAATGGGCGTCACACGTTGTACCCAAATAGGGAATGGAACTCGGGTCTTCGGTGTGACGAGCGAACGCTTTAACCACAAGGCTACCCCACAACCCCTTAAACTGGAACTATTTATCATAATAAGCCCGTGATGAATGCAAACTTTGCTATCACATGTGTACCCATATTCAAACACTGTCAAGACGGCGAGGTAGCCTCCTGGATAAAGTGTCCGCTCTTCTCGCCGAAAGTGCAGGTTCAGTTCCGCATATGGGTTTCTGTGATTCATTCTTGAAGCACCTGGTTAGATTATTGATAAAGCCAGCCATTCTCACTCACAAAGGTGTGATACCCGTGAAGATCCGGGGTAGAATAGGTCATTAGCAACCCATGCTTGCCGTAAAAGACAACAATGATTGTCGTAAGAGGCGGCTAACGGGATCGGGTGGTCAGGCTCGCTGACTAGGTTGATGCATGTCATCGATCCCAATTGCGCAGATCGATGCTCATGATGTCAGTCGCTGGATTGTCTGGTCCAGACTCGATTATTTACAGACCGCCGTCATTTAGCTGGGATTTTGCTGAGTGCGGCGTTAAACAACAAACAAATAAGCACAAATGTAGTTGGACGGGTGACCACTTTCGGTAGCTTGACTCCTGAGAGTTTCTAGGGCTTCGGTCCTGCCCCACACTGAAGCACATGTACCACGTGTGGTGTCTCCTTAGGCAAGGGACTTTGTTCGAAATGTGCCTCTGTTCACCCAGCAGTGAGTGGGTAACCGGTAGGATGAGCTGTGAACCTTCTAGCGCCTCACAGGCAGCTTGGGTTGTATACTCCCCAGGGAGATGAGAATGAAAATCGAGTGCTCACTGATCCATTGACCGGGGTAATAATAGTGTAGCGCTATGAGCATCCACTTGGTGAATGGAATCTGGCGCAATATAAATGCACTTATTATTAAATGTGTGAGGAACACATGACAGTTTCTCCATCACACAGGCAAAACCTGCACTGGGGCGTCGTTATTTCTACACTGGCAGTCAACCCCGATCGGTTGCCCAGTTGAGGACTGGGGTGCGTGGACGAGGGGTGGCCGGGTATTTTCGCATCCATTGTCAATGGGGGCAAAGGTCACGACTGACACTGAGGTATTAACGTTTTATTACCGCGGTATGAAGAAAACAGACAAGGCTGCAACTCAAGCAGGCACATAAACTTGTAAAGGAGATATATATTACGGGATAGATAGCTGGGGATGTAGTCTTGTGCACTGATGATTACACGATACTATGTTCTTTATTGTACACTACATATTCATGATTAGATAATGCTGTGATAATGATTGTACACTACATATTTATGATAATACAATGCTATGTTCATGATTGTACGATACACATTCAGGATTATACAACGCTATGCTCATGATTGTACGATACACATTCATGATTATACAACGCTATGTTCATGATTGTACGATACACATTCATGATTATATAATGCTATGTTCATGATTGTACGATACACATTCATGATTATACAACGCCATGTTCATGATTTACGATACTTATTCATGATTATACAACGCTATGTTCATGAATGTACGATACACATTCATGATTATACAACGCAATGTTCATGATTGTACGATACACATTCATGATTATACAACGCAATGTTAATGAATGTACGATACACATTCATGATTATACAACGCAATGTTCATGAATGTACGATAAACATTCATGATTATACAACGCAATGTTCATGAATGTACGATAAACATTCATGATTATACAAAGCAATGTTCATGAATGTACGACACACATTTATG